GTAAACTCAGAAGCTGCTGACAATGACTACTTTCACCATGTGGAATGGGTAAGAGTAAAAGGCCATCTGTATGAGGAGAGAGAAGCAGGGAGAAGGTGACAAATGAGGGTTTCCTGAGTTCCATATGGCCTTCCAGTCCCTGGCCTCAGTGGAGGACCAAGGCTGCATCCTAGAGCCCCTGGGATCCATCAGTCTCTTAAATTCTTCTTTCTTGACTAAACCACCTGAAAAGAAGTTCTGATATTGATAACCACAGGGGCCTTAATTAAAACTGTTCATAAAGTCAATTTTGGGGTGTTTCTCCTCTCCACATCAACATAGCTTGAAGGTTAAACTCACCTTAAAACTTTATCCTACTCAAGTTTACCTGCATATTAGTCAGTTTTCCATTGCTACAACAAAATACCTGAAGCTGTGGGTACTTTATAAAGAAAAGAGGTTTAGATAGTTCACAATGTGGGAGGTTCAAGGGCATGGTGCCAGCACAGGCTCAGCTCTGGTGAAGATATCAAGGGAAATAGCATCGTGGCAGGAGTATGTGAGAGAAGGAAAAAAAATCTCATGGTGAGGCAGGAAGCCAGAGAGAAACCAGAGAAGGGCCAAGCTTTCTCTTCTATAACAACCTCTCTTGACAACTAACCAGCTTCCCATGAGAACGACGTCACTCCCTTTCAAGAGCATGCCTCCGATGACCCAAATACTTCCCACTGTAAGTTCCCATGATTTCTTAACATCGCCACACTGAGAACCAAGCTTTCAACACACGTGTCTCTGGGGGACACACTCAAAMCATCTTCAAGCCACAGCAACTTAATGCCTCATAGTGAAAGCTCTACCTTGTGTAGGTGACACCATGAACCCTACATCACTATATATTTTAAACCCAGGGCCTGCTTGGATTCCTATACAGGAGGCAATTATAATTTACATTTCTTTCCAGAATCAGGCAGGGATAAATGAAYATAATCTGGAAATGAATAAAAATCCATTGGGTGTACACAGAAATAAGAACACCAATAACTTTGCCCCAAATTAAGGTCTAACATGAAATTTTATTTACCATGTTAGAGAAAATTAGATGCTTAATTTTTCATTAATGTTTCTGAATAACTCCAGGCTTTCTACCTCTTATTTTTAATGGAATTCTTATTTTTAAATGGCAAATCTTATCTGCTACCTCTAGGCTTGCCCAACGATACCTGGTAGGTTGTACACATGCATTCCCATGGAAACACGTGACTCCCCAAAGGGGCCATTTCTTTATCTCTTTTCATCTAGCGACTTCTCTTAATGCACAAGAAAGTGGATAAGAGGTTGTGTCCGTTTCAGCATTACGTCACAACTGTGACCACACACATGACCTAAGTTTGCAATGTGACCAGGTGTTGCAAAATCAGAACTTAAATGTGCCTCGACTAGCTCACACTGTGTAGTGCTCTCTATCTCCGGTACTGAACCTTGGAGTTTAAGATCTTGGCCTCCTTAAAGGGAGACTTCTGGGAATTATCTCTGGCAATCACCCGCTGATGATTTTGGCTGCCTTGGGTCACATAAAAACAGGTAGTCACAGGCGTCCGGTGGTTTCCTCGGGGTGGGTTGCTTTCTTTATGGTCATCAATTTACTGGGCCCAGCTGTCAGGCACTCCACTTCTCAATTAACAACTGGAAGTAGAACTTGAACCACAGGAAGGAAGAAAACTCAGATTTTCCCAAACACACAGTTAATGAAAAAGTGAGCCTTGTCTCCAACTCATCTGTGTTTTTCCTGTAGAACATAAATGTCAATTTGGAAAACCACGTACCTACAGAGGTTTCTCCCCATAGAAAGGTTTCCCGTGACATTTGACTGGGCCACGCGCCAGGTAACCATCTTTACGGAGTTAACAGAAGTCAATTTAAACTGGACATGGAGCAGCCCAAGTTGTTGACTAGTTTCTTCTTATTGATCCCATAGAGAGACTGAAAGGGTTTAAACCGTAGGGCACAGCTTCTAGTCTAACAGAGAAGAAAAATCCTTTTGTTTCGCTTCTTAGAAATTCCTTGGGTCAAAAGTGAAACATGGGAAAGTAGGTCCCAGGCGTTACCCTTGCATCCTATGTCCAAAGCGTGGGGTGCACTGTGGTCCCCTCTTAGCCACAGTTTTAGTTACCTTTAGGCATCTGTGTTCCAAAAATATTAAATGAACAATTCTAGACACAGACAATTCATAAGGTTTACCTAACTTCTATTATATATTGTTAGAGTTAGTTACCCTATTTTATCAGTTATTTCTAATCTCTTATTGTGCCTACTTTACAAATTAAGCTTTATCATTGGTACTTGTCTATAGAGAGAGAAAAAGCAGTATCAGGGTAGGGTTTGGTACTAGCTGAAGTTTCGGGTATCCATGAGGGGTTTTGGAACATATCTCCCTGAGGTAAGAAGCGACGGCTGTACTTCTCTGATCCAGTTCTTCCTGATCAAATGATTTCCCCCAGGACGATAGAAGGGAATAAACCAGGGAAGAAGCAATAGGACTGTCATTCACCAGAAAGCATACAGCGGGCACTGAGGTCTCAGCCGAGGTGAAGAGGAGCACCCGGACTAACAGACAGAGACTCTGGACTGAAGGACGACTCCTGTCTAGACAGGGACAAGAATGATTGTGGAAAAGGAGAAGGATCTGAAGACACTGACCAGTCCTTCAGTTTCTTTCAGGACAGGAACAGTGAAATTGTTAAACTTCCAACTTGAAGACAAAGAGCATATGATCTATCTTTTTTCCCTAACATCTTCCTTTTTGCAAGATTGATTGACCTATCAGTGATTAGAAACTTTACTATCCTCTTTCAACCTAATAAAGGGTTAGTCTTCCTTACCTTGGGTCTTAGGAATGGAAAGACACTCGTCTCTAAGCCGCACACCTACACCTAGCACTTCAGAGTGCTGTAGTCCTAAGCCCCAAGCACAGTGGCTCAAATGGATCTCCCATGACCCTGGCATCTACAGGGTATGGACTGTGGTGCATTACTTCTTTGGCCAATGTGCCTTATACATAGAATGCTAGAGAATTCTTTCAGGGCAAAAAAAAAAAAAATAGTTGTCAGTCTTAAAACGAGTTTTCATTTCTGCATCATGAAGCAGGGGCAGATGCCCTTTAGAACATGATGATGCCATCCATTCCACTGTTACCAAGGCCCGTGAGAAGTCAGTGTACACATTTAGAAGGGCCACTGCTGTCCACATATATCATTCAATGTTCATGGCTGCACAACTGCATTCTACTTGGGGCATCTCGTAATTACCCAGGAGATTATTTCATATTCCAGTATCTCTAACTACATCATTCATAAAGATGAAGATAAAATATTTTCCATAAAGAACATCTTTCCTGAAATCTCCTTTTTGCAGATTATCTCATTATTTAGCAGATTATTTTTATTATTAACTGGGTCACCCCAGTCTGCTCACAAAGCCAGCTGCACAGGAGACTCTAAAATAAATATATTATAAAGCAGAACCTTACCATCAGGAGAGGGAACAGGGTCACTGTGGGGTGAGGCTTCAACTCACTGTAAGGTGAAAGCTTGTACCATGGGAGAAGCGTCATCAGAGCTGTGTGATCTCTTTGGATTGATCAGAAGAACAGCAGAGGGATTATTCTACGTCACTAAGATATCTTGACACAGGGAGAGGGTTGAAATTGACCAAACTGTGTTGGCTTGAACATCACTGTTTAAAACTTCCAGCTTTGGGCAATCAATCTGCAGACCTTGCTAGACCTCCCATCTATGTGGGAGGAGCTACATTATCATTGTAGAGTTTAGCAGAAGGGGGTTACTACAAGGATGTCACAATTCTATCATGCTTCATCTCTAACAAATCACATTCCCCTGGAGTTCCGGCGTGCTTTGAATTAACATCAAAGACAAGAATTCTTAACCCCACCAACTGGCAAATATAGGAATTTCAACAGTTCTGATCTAATGACTCTAAGCAAATCACTATTAATTTCTTACTTTCCAACCTACTAGTCAAGCAGAAATGCAGTCAGAATTGCTGATGAAATTACAGATCACAGAGGAGGCTCTCAAATGCATTTCTTGCTTTCATCCTCCAAGCAAGGCAAGTTCCAAACTAAAAACAGCCTGGATTCATATTATTAGCATTTAAAATATAGCCTCTAAAAATTACCTTTAGGAGGCAGTGAGTTAAGGATGGGATATGACTTGACAAGGATTATTATTGATAGAGCTTATCTTTCTGTGTTCTGAAAGTCACACCTTGGCATTTGAAAGACATAATTTTTTTTTTTTTTTTTTTTTTTTTTTTTTTTTTTTACCTGTTGTGGACTAGATGGGACAGATAGGAGACCAGTTGTCGGGAAATCCAAAATGTATGGGTTTCAAATTATAACCCATTTATCCTACATGCGGCAGGCTGAGATTACATTTAAATGCTAGTAGAGAATTATTCATTCATCTTAAGAACAGGCTAATTATTGTAATATTCCATTATGAAATTCTCTGTCCATAAAATCTCCTATTGCTACTCTATTGGCAATTACTTCAAGGGCCATCTAGACTGTCTATGAAGTTAAGAAAGATACTTTCAATGGTCCTTAAAGAATATGGTATAAATACACACACACACACACACAAATGCAAGGTCCTCTATTAGGAAAGAAGAGAGAGTTTGATCAATTAACAGAAGTGCTGTGAATGTCATTAGAACCCATTTAAAAATTATGGCCTACATCATCTTGGAAACCAGCAGTGGTTTCCGACCATTTGCAGAAAAATAAGGCTTCATGTAATAAGATAGGTAAAGAACTAATGGAAACAAACACACGCCGACACACAACACAGGAATTTCAGCCAAGTCATCGGATCATTCCCGAATTCACCGCAATCATGCGATACTGTCACCATCAGGTTAATTATAAACCATGCAGGAAGCTGTCCAGTCGGATTTGCAAGTCAAAGGGTCAGAATGTGAGCGCTTTAGAATAAATCGGGTACCTGAGAGTTTCATGAGAAGTTCAGACGCGGCTTTGACTGACATATCCCGCCTCAACACATTCCCCTTCCCTTCCTGGGGCTTCAGCGTGTCCTCGGAGATGCTCTGGGCTGCCACTTCAGGTTCTGGGTTGAACACATAGCTGGGCCGAGGCAAGGCCGTGCTTAGGGCTTCCTCTTCCTTGGGCTCCTCTTTCACTTTAAAGTTAAGATTCAGGGGCTCCTTCTGATTTGCAGCTGTCAAAACAAAGGGGGGGGTTATATATGTGTGTGTATCTATGTATGCATGAAAGGCCTCCCCCACCCACCCCAAGCTGCCCCGTTAACTTAATGAAGTATGGAATGTACAATCACCTTGTGCTAAGAGCAAGAGGGACCACGATCGGACCAAAATAGGCTGAGCCCTGAGCTCAGAATTACAGATGCAACCCCTTGCGCCTGGACTTCTGAAAGGTGTGGGCTTCAGGTTCTTTTAAACCAACAGTATTTTAAGAAGTGCCATCTCTACCAAGCGTTGGGGCATTTTCTCTTTGGTTTTCCTAAGTATCAGGAAGATACTGTCTGTGTCATTGCTTTCCTGACCTATTAGCAATCTCCCCCGCCTAATCCTATTACAGAATAAGGCTTTTAGCAATTATTCTGCCATCAAATATTGAATAAAAACATGAGTCAGAGGCAAGACCCAAAGCCAAAACCGGGGGTGGGGTGGTAAGGTGAGGACGCAGAATTTGCCAATAAGAAAAGCTCAGGCGAGAGAGACACCACTCTTGCCTTATTATAAGCAGACACTACTGACCCCTCCGCGGTGGGGCATGTACTTGGCACTGTGCTTCTGGTCACTGTGAATAAATCTATGTCTTTAGTCCGAGTCATCTTTGCATAACAAATGGACTTTGGGTTTGGTTTTGCTTTTAATTTTGAAATCATTTTAGATTTATAGGGAAGCAGCAAAGATGGTTCGAGAGTGCTCACATGGCCTTTGCCCAACATCCCCTAAGGTTGACCTCTGACCTAACCTCTGTACAGCTGTCAGAACAAAGACATCCACATTACTGGGATCTAAACTCCAGATTTTATTCGGATTTCACCAGTTTTTCCACCAGTGTCCTTTCCCCACTTTGGGCATGGCTGGTTGGTGTGGAGCACATGGTCAGGCTAACTGGCTTTTGATGGGATGGAGTCTGAGGCTCAGCTCTTCTGTGCCAGGCCTTCCCCACTGCACTGCACACACGGGAACAACCAGAGCTACAAGGACAGCTCCCACTTGCTTTCTGTCGTCACTAGGTTCCCACAAAGGACCATGTAGTAGGAACTGTGGGTTGCTTACACCAGGTGTGCTTGTCTTTTCAAAGAGAGGATCTTGTCCTAACACAGAACTCTTAGAATGATCCTCAAACCCATTCCATCTTAAAAAACCAAAAGATGAAAATGAATCTCCAAAACAAGCACCCCCCACCCCGGCCAATGCACAACACATGGTCCTTTCTTCCCCCTTAGGCCCCTCCAGTGTTTTTGGAAACTGGACCCCAGAGGTTTAAAGTCACATTCACAAGTTTCACTACCAGAAAGTTGCAGAAGTGAGATCAGAACCTAAGTCCATGAACTGCCCACACCTTACCTGCCTCCACCACGCGGGTCCTCTACCTGTGGGGGCTGTGCTATACCCAAAGTAAAAAAAAAATTTTCACTTTCAAACCTTTGCTCGAGTGCCACCTGTTCAATGAGCTGTACTCTGACCATCCTGCTCAAAACTACAGCCCCCTCCCCACCTTGCACCCAGTCTTTTTTATCCTACAGTAAATATTTTATGCTTCATAATATGGAGCTGCCATGGACTGCACGGTGTCCCCCACTAAATGCACATGTTGAAGCCCTAACCTTGCAGTGTGAACATGCTTTGAGTTACGGCCTTCAGGGAGGTAATCAAAGTTGAATGAGGCTGTAAGGGTGGGGCCCTAATCCAATGTCACTGGTTCCCTGTAAGCAGAGAAAGACAGACACCAGCAAGGTACATGCACAGCAGAAAAGCCCTATCGGGACCTGTGAGAAGGGGGCCATCCACAAGCCAGGAAGAGAAGGCTCAGAAGAATCCAACAACTCCACCTTGGACTTCCAGCCTCCAAAACTCTGAAGACTAAATTTATACAATATCAGCCTGCAGTATTTTGTCGTGGCAGCCGGAGCAGAGAAATCACATACTGTATCATTTTTTCAATTTGTTGTTAACTATTTAACGTCTGTTCCCTCAACTCCAAGGCAGGCTTCATGACGGTGACAATCATTCTAATGCTGATGTCTGTCAAATGCCCAGAACAGTGGCTGGCACATCAGAGGGGCGCAGTAAGTACTCTTTGAGTGAATAAAATACTTTGGCTACCAAGAAGTGGCCTCTGATGGGCTTCCAGTATGACTTGTGGGAAACGAAAGTTAAGAACTCTAGAATATCCCACCGGAATCAACCGGAAGTGCTTTCCCTGGATCTGCTCATTACCTGGGGATGAGATCTTTGGGATGAGGTTAAAAGCTTTGTTACAGAGACCACACCACATAGCGAGATGTCTCCCATCCAGTCCCTTGGCCTCTAGTATTTCTAAAGAGGGAATCCAGAAAATTTCCAGGCAACTGCCTCTCATCCAGCCATTTGGGGGCAAGGCCACTGAAAGCTAAGCCAAAAGGAACAACAGCACCGGCTTTAGAACAATTCTCAAATATATACTTCCAACCCCAACCAGGAGGGCTGCTTAATGACTCCGCTTACTTAGTGTCTTTCTTCCCTGTGCACTTTTTAACCACTTCCCGGGGGTTTTGCTGATGGCACACCTAGACTTTGCCCTTTCTTCCGCAACCTTGGTAAGATCCTTTTCCAGGAGCATCCTAGTCACGACAGAGTCGTCATCAGTGTGTATTTATTTACTTCTGTGACTTTGGTTCCTTGGGAAGGAATAATTTAAAGTGAACGGTTAACATTAAAAAAAAAAAAAAGCTTCTACGCTGTTATCTTTTATTTAAAAACATTTTAACCTTTCAAGATAAGGCTAGGACAGACAGAAAAAGCTGAGGCCCTCGAAGCAAATCCCAGCTTGCGGAGAAGGCAAACATGAGGTAGATAGTCTGGGAACATATAAATGGCTTCTCGGAGCACTGGTCAGAATACACGCTCCGTGAGACTTAAGGGAAAAAGACACTCGGCATGGAGAGCAAGACCTGGAGTTAACAGAACTTCAATAAGACACTTCAAAAAACAACAGGCAGCTCCATGTGGCTGGATTACCAGCTTGCAGGGCACGATACACCTGGTTTTTATGCTGACAACATCAAGAAGGGCACAAAAGTGTCAGGTGCTGAGAAAATGTAAATATAGTTAATGATATAACAGAAAAACATGTGGGTCTAAATAGAAAATGTAAAAATAGAAATATGAAGGCCAGCCTGCTTTCTTTCAGTTGCCAAAAATATTTACATTGAGAAGAGCACATATAGCCATTTTTTAAAAAATTAATATGACTGAATAATTGCCATCTTTTGAATTATTCTAGTTTTAACAAAAACCTACATGTGTAGAGCAAAGTGAAATTAAAGATGCTTTCTTTTCCTTGAGGGAAACTGCTAAGAGAAAAGCAACAATTTATGAATCCTTGCGTGGTCCTTACTTCATTCCTACTCCTCACACAGAAAGATCTGTGCACATATGGATTGCAGCTCACAAAGGGCCTTCACAGCACCTGCCTCGACTTCTGTTTATGTATCTTCAAGTTGCCCGACGCTCCACTTTTAAGGCAGAGAGGAAGCCCCGCTAATCAAGAGGTCCTGTCTCTCTTTGTTTATTCCAAACATTTTAGGAGCCGAGCCACTCTGATTATAAATTATGTACATCTGTAAGTTCATGGGCTGGATGGAGCTGGGCTGTCATTTAGGGGAAACAGATTGGCTTCGATGAGGATTTATAAACGATTCAAGATAGAGACAAATGCAGGAAAGGATTGGGAAAACCCCCAGAGAAAACAATTCCAACTGTCCAATTCTAAAAGGTCGGTATGAATGAGCACAAGAGGACTCCCTCCTTACAGAAGGTGCCATAGGTCCAAGGGAGATTCCCTCTAAGCCTCCTCTCCCCCAGAAAACCCTATTAACATCCTTAGAGACCATTTCATAGATAAGGAAACTAATAAGATCTCCAGAGTTTAACAGATGGATAAATGAATCCGAGCTGGTACATGCAGACCCCAGGCTCCATCGCTTCCAGGTAAAAATGCACCCAAGCCCTTTCCTTCCTCTCCAAGATGCCCGAGACCTTTATGAAGCATGCTATCTTAAGCAGCTGGAACATGGGATTTGGAAAATAAGTGACATGGCTTGAATGAGGTGTCATTATTGAGAAAAGGAAGGTGAGCTCAGGGTGTCACCTGAAGGGAAGGGATGCTTTTAGGTAGGAAGGAATCTTGTGCAGATTTGACTGTGAGGAGGAAGAGAAGACAAGGAATGCTATATAAAGTTTTCTGACCCATCCTCTTGATTCCCTTTGGTGAAGGAAAATGATACCTTCCCTTGGGATCAAGAAGACAGAGCTCTTGTTCAGTTTATAGTCTGGCACTGTGGTGAATACTGAGCTGTGAAAAAGGAAGGCCGTGGAGAACTATATTCACTCACCCTAAACCAGAGCCAGGTTCTTGGACCTGGAAGGGTTTGCAGAGCAATGATTTTCAAACGGTGTTCCAAGGAACCCCATGATATGCTACAGGGGTTCCAACAAATGTACATCTCAAATTCACCAGAAGTACACACCTAAAATGCCAACTCCCTGGAGTCTACCAGAGTGTTAACTTGTGTTGATGAGTTAATTTGGTTTTGTGTAGCCCTTGTAATGCAGTTTCTCCTGTCATGGGGGAGTGTTAAATTTCTAGGAATTCGTTGTTAATAAGGAAGTGTTTGGCTTTCCACTGATCTTTCGAAAATATCCAGGTCTATGCATGTGTGTCCACGTAACATTGTACAGTTACGGAACTACCAGAACCTATATGCAACCCTGAAGTCCTTTTCTCAACTTTTGGCCACTGACATTCTGGATTGAATAATTGCTTTGGAGGGGGACAGTCCTGCACATAGTAGAATGTTTCCTGGCATCCTTGGCCCCTACCCACTAGAGGCCAGTAGCTCCTACCAGTGGTAAAAACATAAAATGTCCCCAGACGTTACCAACTGTCCCCTAGGCAAACCTGCCTTAAATTAAATACCAGGGT